TTTTTTTTTTTTTTTTTTTTTTTTTTTTGGAATAAGAAACGTCGTCTGGACTTGTTTATTGAATTTGAGATGCTCTTCGTTTAGTAATTAATGGATTTTGTGCAACTGTTCGAGATTTTGATTTTATCGTTTGAATAGTACTTTACTTTATCTGTTGTTTTTCGGTTTTTGTTTGAAGGTTACGATTGATCTGGACGGGATTTGTTGTTAATAGGAATATATTTCCTCAGTAATGAATACTGTTAGAGACAGCTCAGTGTTAATAGATGGGCAACCTTGATAGTAACATGCAGGACTCTCAAACTCTATCTGTTCCTCACAATCATGGAATTTCTTTCTGATGTGATCCTTGTAGTGAAGCCTATCGATATGTTCTTGGCAACAATAGGTTGCCATTGATCATATAATATCTCTAATTCTGTCTACTTTTGGGAAGTTTGGATACAGAACTGTTATAGGATCTTCATTGATACTCTTATGGTTAGCAAAGATGTGAGAGATTTTAAATTTCTGTATTCCTTTTGGAATTCTCTTAATTTCTTTTGTGATTTTGACTCCTTTTTTTTTATTTGTGCCAATGGTAAGAGTTCATTCGTATCTCTTTTATATCGTTACGGGCCGCTGATATCTCACATCCCTATCTCTTTGTATTTCTGTTCATGAAAATTTTCCTATCTAAATAAATATAAATGAGGATAAATTGATAAATTTTCCTATCAAAGATGTTAGAAATCACGAATTTCCACAGTGGTATGATATTGTCCACTTTGAACATAAACTCTCATGGTTTTGCTTTAGGCTTTCCTAAAAGGTCTCATACCAATGGAGATATATTCTTTACTTATAAACTCATGATCATTCTCGATGAATGATGCGTACTCTGCCATTTGGTCATCTAACTGCTTTGATCTATTTTGGATCGTATGCTCTGGCCAGAACCCCTTTAAGTTGTTACTTACATTTGGAATTGTTGCAGGTTGGGACAATTGCTCTTCTTGCATCGACGGGATTGCTCATCTTTCTGCTATTCATTCTAGCAGCAACGCTCAATGCCGTTATTATCTCCCTTCTTGTTTCCTTGGCTGCAGTTGGAGGCTTCTTGGCTCTTTTCTTTGCTTGCATAACAGCTGTGTACATTGGGGCATTAACAGTTGCTTTGTTTTTTATATCTACTGCAACAATCTCAGCCATTGTAGCAGTGGTGATCGCCACAGGTACAAGCAATATGTACACTTATCTAAACCGTGTTTCTTGATAACCTCTCTTCCCATTGACATAGATCAGTCATATCGGTTTGACGTGGGTCTGTCTCATAAGGAAAGCATGAACGTATAGTTTGCCGCTTTCTAGCATTATATTTCTGCTTTCCCTATCGTTGAGTTATCCTGTTATCCACCACACAATTTGAATAGTTTAAGCTAAGAGTTTGTGTGAAATCTATCGTCGGTTGGAGAGGGGAATGAAACATTTTTCATAAAGGTGTGAAAATTTCTTCCTAACCGACGCGTTTTAAAAAACCTTGAAAGGAAAAGCCTAAACAGGGGCTGTTACAGAAACTAAACCAGAGGATCCTGAGAAGTTCTGCCTTCAATTAGTAGAAGCCATACACTAGTCAATGACTTTCCTTTGATTTTGTTTCTGTTTCATTCAACTAGACCTTGGGTCAATTGTGCGCTTTTGGGGATAAATTTCGTTCTTTTCTCTAACATTTTGCATTTTCACAACTCAGGTTGGATTGGGTTCTTCTTTATGGTTTGGCTAGCAGTATGGAAAAGTTTTGGTCTTGCTAAGCGGTCGATGAGCGTGAGCAATTCAGCAATTTCAGCATTTTCTTATGCTAGGCGTGCCCACAAAGACTAGGTATGGTTCAAATGAGTTAAATGAATGCTATGAATTGGAATATGTTGCTTCACTCATTTTTTCCTCTCCCGAGAGTCACTTTTTTGAAAGATCTGCTGCATATGTTGTTGAGTTTAAAGGCCTTGGTAGTATAATATCCATAATGTGTGCTTATAATGTAGATATTCTTTTATAAGTATACTATTTTACGGGCTCCTTTATTGGTGAGTGATGAAAGTACCAAACATTGAAGATAGAGCTTCGAAGAAATATAAGTGTAACTCAAGTAAAAGAGGATCTTCTTTACCTTGAAATGTTTGAATATGAGAACCAATAAATGATATGGTTGATAATTTACACACCCTTTGCCTTTGCCTTTGCCTTTGCCTTTGCCTTCTGTCTTGTAATAAATAAATCCAAACCAATATCTACATTTGCTTTAAATGCAAGTAATTGGTGATCTTCTCAAATCTTCTAAGAAGTGTGATCCCACCAGAGAGACAAACAAAGTGGCATTTATTACACAAAATTGCCCAATTAATGAACTATCCAATCAATGGATATACTCATTCAAGTCAATTCCTAAATTCACCATAATTATTGAACATCCAAACAACACTCTGTTTATTCCTTTTAAAGGAAGAAGACAGATGAAGCTTTTTTCCCTTTGTATGATAGACAATTTGATAGGTTGAAGCGGCGTTTGATTTGATTGCAAGGGTGAGGAGTTCAAATACATCAAATTCTTGTAAATTTATGGGAAGAATCAATTCTTGTGTTTGTGTTTTTTAATATAGACTCATGTTTAAACACTTCAAATTTAAAATTTTGAGAACAAATAAACATAAATCTTAAACTTTAGAGAGGTAACATCACGATAAATATTCATTGCTTTAGTTATAATTTCATTATTTTTAATTTAACAAAATGTGAATTGTTGACCTCTCAGTTGAAATTATCAACTTATGAACTGTAGTTTAAAGTTGATTTTAGTGTGAGGTATATTGATTCATTATAAGTCATGGGTTCGAACGAAATATATGATCGGAGTGTCTCATGATTAAAAATTTGACTTTTCCACAATAATTTTTTACCCTTCTATTTTGATTTTACCTTTCCTTCTAGACCGATTAAGTTATAAAATTTGACATGTTTTTTTTAGTTTAATTTCAGGCCTGAAATAAGAATTTGAACTTTTAACTTTCTAGTTGAGAGTATATACTTAAACAAGATATACTATATTCGATTTAGTAAAAATTAGTTTTCAGTCCGGATCTGGAAAAAATCTCTCTCCCACTCTTGATTCCCCAAACGAAAGCAAAGTTAAACGCTCAAATCTACCTACCCTTTTGACTAAAGCTAAAATATGATGGAAATGCTTATGGGAGATGGAATTTGGTAAGAAAACCTGCAAAAAATGTATCCCATGCACATTAATTATGGACCATACATAGCTCAGCAAACTGCCAAATTGAAGCATTTATCTTCCTTTGGGCGACCACAGGGATCACTGACAAAGACCCTGTTGCTCTTCTTCTTCTCTCATTTCAAATATAGATATTATATTGGTTCTAAGCCTAGTATTAATAGATATTGTCTTATTTGCACTTTTTGTCTTATTTGCACTTTTTTTTTCAAACTATCCTTAAGATTTTTAAAATGTGTCAGTTAGGGAGAGGTTTCCACACTCTTATAAAGAATGTTTCATTCTCCTCCATTTCTAGTACTTTCGTAGTATAGTTTTCATATCAGACTTACCATTCACAAGCAAAGTGAAGAAAAAAGAGAAGAGTAATTGTCGTATTCTTAATCGAATAATTCAGTATCAGATCTTACCTCATTCATAAATAATTGAATCTGACCGACAACGAATGAAATGGAAATAGTATCCTTTGAAAATTCCCTCCAATTTAATACCCTATTCTGATCATTCCCCATTGGAGAGCCCTTCCCTTTCTTTACTTTCTGCATGAACTTCTTTCCACAACAAACCTTAAAGATGCCCAATACTCAGTCTTCTTCTTCTTCTTCTTCTTCTTCTTTTCTTGATCTTTCTCTCCAAATTAGTCCTCCCAATAATTCAACCTTCCCTACCTCTATTGAAGCCTCCAATGGAGTTCTTGGGGCTCATAAATTCAATCATTTAACTAATGGGGTTTGGCTTTTGGATCATCATCTTCCACCTTCTGAAGATCATCATGGCCTCTTCAACCAAATTTATGGCTTCCCAATTCATCCCAATAATCCTTCATCTTTCTCTTGGAAACACTCCAAACAAATGCCTTCTTCTTCTTCTTCAATCTTGTACTCGAACATCTCTAGCTTCCGGTACCAGCTGAACGCTGGCCGGTCGTCGACGGGGGCGAGAGGACGAGGCGTGAGGGCGCCGAGGATGCGGTGGACGAGGACCCTCCATGCTCAGTTTGTTCATGCTGTTGAGCTTCTTGGCGGCCATGAAAGTAGTACCTTTTAAGCTTCATTTTCCAATCTTCTGTTTTTTCCTTCTAATTGGCTTTCATTTTATGTTGTGTTGTGTTAGGAGCTACGCCTAAATCAGTTCTAGAGCTCATGGATGTGAAGGATCTAACATTGGCTCACGTCAAAAGCCATTTACAGGTCTTTTTTTTCCCTCTCCTTTCTAATTTAAGATATTAAATTCAAATTTAGCTCGGCGAATATGCCTTCCACTAATGTGTTCGTGGACTAATGTGTTCGTGAGGTTGGTCGGATCGATTTTAGACTTTTTAAAACTCAATTGGATGGTTTGAGCGATAAGATTTTCAATCTAACCCAATTCAATCATAAAATTGGGTTAACACGTTGTGAATTTTTTTTTATTTTTAATAAAAGTAAAATGTTAGTAGTTAAAATGGATATTTATTTATTTTGAAATATTTATTTAATATTTATTTAAAAAATTGTTAAAATTATTCTTGAGAAGGGTTGGATAATAAATAATTAAAAAATTAAAAAAATATATGTATATATAATTGTATTGTAAGTAAAAATGTAGATGTTTTGGGCTATAATTATGAATCCTTATGTTAAGATTTTAGGATCCATATTTTTTTCTCAATGACTTTTTTTTTTTTTTTTAGATGTTTCGCGCTCATAAAACGACCCCCAAGCTTCCAGCTTCTCCACGTAATTCCTCATCTACCTCATTCGAGATTTATTTATAGGTCTAAAAGTTTAAGCTGATAGAGTTATAATGTGTTTAAAGGCTAGTCGGAGAGTAGCTACTCTCTCGAGGATGATATGTGTCCTTAGCTTCAATGGAGAATGCCACGGTAGATGGAAACCTATGACTCCTTTCGACTCGAGGGGACATGGGCTATGGATGCTCTAAGAGTCCACTTTGCTCTATGAATTTTACAAGGTGAATTATTATGTTTCAATGTTGATTAGCTTGGGAGAGTCTAACATTAAAAAATTTGATAACCCGAAAGATCCAATTAAATAAATAAAAATTTTAGGAATAAATAATTTACACTATACAATTATATATAAATGTATTTATTTTATTTCATAATTAGTTTTTTGATTATTTATTTCCACGCCTCTTATAAACAATTTTTAACTACTTGAAAGGTAATTTTTAAAAATATATATTGAAATTGAGTTGCAAATCTTAATTAAATGTTATAAATAGATTATAGGATGATGAATTAGCACATATTCAAATTGGTTAGAGTAATTTCTAGCCTATTTTGAAATGACGTTTCAATTGTCGATGAGGCATCATCGTGGTGGTCCTCTGAAAATGTAATACTGCCGGACTCTAGAATGCTAGACTTCTGTATGCAGGTACAAGAACCAAAGCAAAGTGATTTAGAAAGATTCTTCTTTCTCGATGATGATCGGTTATGGTATCTATAGTGCTGCTTCTTTTTCGACAAAATCCTAATTTCGTCTTGCTTTTTCCGGTTGTCGAGTCTAATCGACTCCACCCTTTTCTCTACCGACCCAACCTCTTTTTACTCTAATCTCGATTATGGAACTCGTAGACACTCTAATTAGCCAGCCTTATGGAAAGAGTAAAAACAAAAGGGTAAATAAGGTTAAAAAAATCTTGTTTTGACACATTTGACAGCGAACTCTAAAGCAGTTGGTGGATGAATTGTGGATTAAATGGTTAAAAAGAAATGGAATAAGGTAAATAAATGTAACCTCAAATTATTTACCGTTATCATTATTATTTGAATGAGATAAAAAAAAAAAAAGGAGAAGAAATAAATACCTCTAAGGCCCTCTAGTACTATCCAATTTACTCCGTATATGACCCACGTGGTCGAGTCGAGCTAAAAGAGTAGGAGACAAATTATATATGCAAGTATGACACATGCATTTAACATGATAGCTTACGATCGGGCCATCATGTATCTCGTAACATCACGTGTTCATCATATGGCATATTTGTTTATCATATCTTAAGATGATTGACCACTCTAAAGTGTATTTTTACTCGCCTATGTCTCAATCAGAGAATTTTCAACTTGAACACTAATTTCTTTTCTCTTACATTAAAAAGTGTTGGAAAAAAGTCAAAAAAATGTCGACATGTACTATTCCATTACAAACGTGTTGTCGAGACATGTTGTCATTAGTTAACTGTCGACAAAGAGTTTTGTCGATACACCCTAAACCTTGTAGCTTCGGCATAGCCAATAAAAGGTGAGAAACCTAAATATAAAACCAAACTCAAATCTTAAGAAAGCAACAGAAGGATATATGTGAGATCCCACATCGTTTGAAAAGGGGAACCAAACATTTATTATAAGGGTGTAAAAACTTCTCCTTAGTAAACGTGTATTAAAACATTGAGAAGAAGCCCAAAAAGGATAATATCTACTAGCGGTGGGCCTAAAGGCAGTTACAATATAATTTTCGAGCAAGGTGTATAATACAAGAGAATCTATCACGCCTAATTTCAACCATGGAAAGTCTTATTTCATTGAATTTTGGTTAAAAATTTATCATTATGACCCATTATAAATATTAAATACCATAGTTCACATGCCCAAACCTAGACTCAACATGCCCTATTTTATGGGTCATGTCCCCAACCCACCCATCATTTGAATTAATTCTATATATTATAAGCTTCCCTTTGTAATTTAAATTTGATTTTGATGGATTAACGTCTTTAATTAATTAATTAATTTATGATTAAGGTTACTCTCCTTAAATAAAATCAGGTTGGATTACTAACAAAATGTCATCTATTTAAAATAGATGTACGAGATTTTGTAATTTATTCACCATCAAGGTCAAAAGCTCGATAGATTTCGTCTTTATTTTTATTCAACATATTAAAATATTTACAAATTACGTGGTGTTAAAGTTGGAACATGGTCAAAGGTTAGCTTTGTGAGTGTTGTCTCAATCAGATACAAATGATATTTTTTTTAAAGAGAGAATCGACTACGGATCTCTAAATTCCTACCTCTCTATCGATCTCTGGGATGTTTGGATTTTTCAAAACTTCATGGACATGCAAAAGAGAAATACGATCCCCACTGGGACCAAGACATAACTTTTACGTGTTCAAATAACAATTTTATTACGCATCGAGAGTGAAATGAATTGTATAGATGTTGTTTGTTATAATTATAGAGCAGCGAGAGTGATTTGACAAAAATCCAATTTGTTTGGTATAGATGACAATGTCGGGGACCCACATTAACCTTCAAATAAACAATACAAGACAAACTAACTAGGATGATTAATAAACTGTAAATGAAAATAAAATAAAATAAAAGATTAATTCTTACTCAAAAAGAATATAAAATTAAAAAAAAAAAAAAGGCTCTGAAAAGGATATCACACTAAAATATGTGATAACGACGTTCATTATTTGAAAATAAATATACAAAATTACATTAGCTTAACAAATGTCACATGGAGTTTTAATACTAAGTGTAATAATTTGTAAAGGTTTGATTAATTAGGAATAAAATCATAAATTTGTATATTTCCCATAAGAATAACATAATTTACTTAAATATGATATCCACTTGGCCATGAAAAAATATTATAAAATAATACCAATTTTCAAGACTCTTATTATTATTATTATTATTATTATTATTTTGTTAGACAGAAAAAGAGAGGAGACCAAGACAGGTAGATTCACTGAGAGGAGAAGCTGGAAAAAACTAAAAAACAACAAAAAGGAGGCAGAGACAGTTGTTTAGTTTCAGCATAAAAAAAAAATAAATAAATAAATAAAACTTGTTTTTATTGGGGAAAAAAACTAAAAAAATGAAGAAAATCTTGATTTTAAAGAAAAGAAAATGAAGAAAAGCTTGTTTTTAAATATAAATGAATCGAAAAACTTGATTTATGCAAATGCCCAAAACCACTGGCCGATATTGTCTAGGCTTTCTCTTTCTGGATTCTTCTCGAGGTTTTTATAACACGCTTGTTAAAGAAGAGAGGTTTACACGCGCCCTTAGAATGTTTTGTTTTCCTCTTCAATCGAGGTGGAATCTCTCAGTTGAAAAACAAAAATAATTTCAAAAAATGAAGAAAAACTTATTTATGTAACGACCCAAGACAAATATTATCTCATTTGGGCTTTTTATTTCGATCTTCTTAAAAAAATTTAAAACGCGTTTGCAAAAAATTTTACACTTTCATAAAAAATGTTTCGTTCTTCGTCTAATTAAGCTAAGATGTCATAATTAAAAAAAAGAAAAATGGAGAAAAGCTTGGTTTTAGAGGGAGGAAAAAAGAGTAGTAAAAGAAATTCAGAAAAGGTTGATTTAAAAGAAAAAGGATCCAATGAAATTGAAGAGACAGAAGCAGAGCAGCAACCGAACCAGACCAGACCAGACCAGACCAGACCAGACCAGACCAGACCAACTTGGGTTCCAGCCTTTTTTTTCTTTTGTTTTTCTGACAGCTAATGGTCCCCACACACACACACCCCACCATGTGCTTCCCCCTTCATTTCTGCCACCCATCGCTTTGCCCCATAAGTAATAATCCCATCTCTCTCTCTCTCCCCCCCCCCCCCCCCCCCCCCCCCCCCCCCCCCCCCCCCCCCCCCCCCCCCCCCCCCCCCCCCCCCCCCCCCCCCCCCCCCCCCCCCCCCCCCCCCCCCCCCCCCCCCCCCCCCCCCCCCCCCCCCCCCCCCCCCCCCCCCCCCC